GCCAGAAAGAACCAACTGTCAAAGCTGAAGACCGAGTGTGGCAGCATCGTTTCCGGGGCACCTGAGATTTTGAGTGAGATTTAGAGGTTCTATGGGCAGCTGTACACGTCATCGTTGGAGCCACACGCAAGTGTGAGTAACGATCCAAGAGCGAGTCTCATCCAACACTATTCCGAAGATATCCCGGACGTCAGTCTGAGCGAGATTATAATGGCTCTCCAGCACCTTAAAAACGGTAAGGCCCCAGGCGAGGATGGAATTACAGCGGAGCTTCTGAAAGCTGGTGGAAAACCGGTACTTGAAGTCCTTCAGAAGCTCTTTAATTCCGTCCTCCATGGTAGCATTACACCGGAGGCGTGGAGCAGAAGTGCGGTGGTCTTGTTCTTCAAGAAAGGTGACAACGCTCTCTTGAAGAACTACAGACCGATTTCCCTTCTGAGCCGCGTCTACGTGCTGTTTTCGAGAGTCATTACGAATCGTCTCGCGCGCAGACTTGACGACTTCCAGCCTCCCGAACAAGCCGGTATCCGAAAGGGCTTTAGCACCATAGACCACATACATACCTTTCGGCAAATTGTACAGAAGTCCGACGAGTACAATTTGCCACTATGTCTGGCGTATGTGGACTATGAGAAAGCCTTCGATTCCGTCGAAATTTGGGCGGTGCTGCAGTCCCTTCAGCGGTGCCAAGTTGACTGTCGGTATATCGAAGTGTTGAAGTGCTTGTACAGTAGGGCTACGATGGCTATCCGAGTACAGAACCAGAGTACGAAACCTATCCAATTGCAGAGAGGTGTAAGACAGGGTGACGTCATATCCCCGAAACTCTTCACCGCTGCATTGGAAGACGTTTTCAAGCTTCTGGACTGGAAAGGATACGGTATCAACATCAAAGGCGAGTACATCACTCATTTTCGATTTGCCGACGATATAGTCCTTATGGCAGAATCGCTGGAGGACCTAAGCACTATGCTCAATGACCTCAATAGTGTTTCCCAACGGATAGGTCTTAAGATGAACATGGACAAAACAAAGATCATGTTTAATGTCCATGTCACACCTATGCCGGTAGTTGTTGGGAACACTAAGCTCGAAGTTGTTGACGAGTATATTTACCTGGGACAAATAGTCCGACTAGGTAAGTCCAACTTCGAACGAGAGGTCAATCGACGGATTCAACTCGGCTGGGCAGCGTTCGGGAAGCTAAGACACATCTTCTCGTCAGACATACCTCAAAACCTTAAAACGAAATTGTACAACCAGTGCGTGTTGCCAGTGATGACTTACGGAACTGAGACGTGGTCCTTCACTGCTGGCCGGATGAGAAAGCTCAAGTTCGCTCAGCGAGCTATGGAGAGGGCTATGCTCGGAGTTTCTCTGCGTGATAAACTTAGGAATGAGGATATCCGCAGTAGAACCAGAGTAACCGACATAGCCCAACGGATTAGTAAGCTGAAGTGGCATTGGGCCGGCCATATAGCTCGAAGAACCGACAACCGATGGGGAAGAAAGGTTCTCGAGTGGCGGCCTCGTACCGGTAGGCGAAGCGTAGGGCGTCCCCCCACGAGATGGAGTGACGACCTGGTAAGACATGCAGGAAGTCGATGGATGCAGGTGGCTCAGGACCGTGCTTTGTGGCATTCTTTGGGGGAGGTCTATGTTCAGCAGTGGACTTGTGAAGGGCTGTAATGATGATGATGATAATAAGTTAAATATATTATATTATAAAATATAGTAACAATAAATTGACATATAAAAATCTCAGCCACGGGAAGTTTATTTTTGTACACGCGGCAACACTGAATGACGTCATTCATATTTTGTAACTTATTTATGGCTCGTGTTATTTTATGTTGAAATTTCGAAATCGTATGATACTTACTGATAGTATGTGATCCTAGTATCTTTCTTGTTTCTTTTAGTATTATTTTTACACAGTTTCAATACGCAAGCTGGTATTTTACTTCGGTTTATGATCAAAATTTAATAAAACTTTCGGTACGTCCACATCACATGTCGCCTGCAACGCAACTGGCTCGGGTACGCCGATTTCGACGCAGTATTTGTTGCCGCATTTTACAAGATCGCTGGCGGTATCTAGTCTGATCGAGCGAAGACCTATCAATAATCTAAGGTTGTCATAAACTGAAATAACTTAAGGAATTTCTCATCAATTCAGATCATTCAAAATTAGCTTTTATTTAAAAGTTTAACAAAAGATGTACTTGATTTTCTGTCAGACATTTGGTGTATATTAAGAACACCTTATAATTTCATTATTTTTTGAGGAAGGGAAAAACAAGTAATTATAATAATTAACTTTAACTAAGTAGTAATAATTACAACTTAGTACATAAATAAAAAAAAAAAACTCCTGAAAAGCAAAGTAACCCATGACCGTGCTTTCTGGCAGTCAATGGAGGATGTTTTTTGGAATTGTTCTTGAAATAATATGATTGTTATTGTGAATGTCAATTAAGTCGTTGGATAAATAACCCTATTGATGAAAAAAAATTGAATTTTTAACGTTGAAATTGGCACTAAAAATGCCAATTGCCTGAGTGGTTAAATAAATGAAGTTAAATACTCTGATTTATTTAAAGGCAGGTTAAGTCATGGCTACCATACTACACAAAATGGACTTCGCTTATAAAAAATGCGATAAATGAAAAATAATAATGGAGCGCACAGGTACTGCCTTGGCACGGGTGGACTTTTTGAGAAAAGTCAAACATATTTCAAATTGGGATAAAGTCGTATTTTTGGACGATACGGACGGATGACACGGCACAATCAGTCACCAAAGTGCCCGAAGGCAAAGGACAACGCCTGATAATTGCGCACGCAGGGACTGCAAACGGTTTCGTACCCAATTATTTGTTGGCTTTCAAATCAACAAAAAGAACAGAATATCATGAGATGAATTTCGAAAAGTTCAAAGAGTGGTTTTTAACATTACTGGAAAATCTTCATGGACCAAATATAATTATTACGGATAATGAACCGTACCATTCCTTACAAAATAACAAAACTCCAATATCCAGCAGCAGAAAACTGAAAGCTGAAGCCAATGAAACTGTCATTAAAACTAGTACCAAGGTTTACTACATATACACATACTTAATTTATTTTTATTATTTTAGGTCATACAGCCAAACATAACACATCTCCACCATTTACGGCTAAAAACTGCTGACTTTTTTTGCAAAATATCTGTGATGACGTTACTGTGGATGACTGACGAAAAGTCGTGGAATACACAAAAAATACATACTAGAAGACTGGGAGCGTGATGTCCACTTTGAAAGTGTTTGTAAACAAGAATTAACAATCAACGTAAGAGACAGTTCCAGTGGTGAGCCTAGTGATAATAATGAAGATAATAATTATAATGAACTTGATTTAGGTTGTACGCCATTATTTTAATAATAAATAACTTGAAGCTACAATTCCTTGTTTTATTTCACACTAAGCCCTTTCACAAAATTATTTCAACTCGCACGTATTCTACTAAATAGTCTGACTGACCGAATAAAAATATGCATGAGGCGAAATCGTAATTGTGAGAGGGATTTTATTATCGTATTAATAATACGATAATAAAATACGATACGGTTTGGTTTATTTAGGTATAAGATACGCAAGTCTAAACTGTTTTCACTCCAAGTGTACCGTAACAACACATCTATATATTACAACCCAGTGGTTAGGATGTGTCGCCTCTACAATGATATATCCCAGGACCATCCAAATATTGATATTCTAGGGTCAACTCCAAATGTCCTCAATAGATCTATCCGAGATATTTTGAAATAACTGAAATAATTGATATCATCTATATACTTATATATTTTGTTCTAGCTTGTAAAAGGCCTCTCTTGTAGTCTGCTGGATGGTTAATTGCAATGCCACTGTTTTTAGGGTTCCGTACCTCAAAAAGAAAAAACGGAACCCTTATAGGATCACTTTGTTGTCCGTCTGTCTGTCTGTCGAGAGCCTTTTTCTCAAGTACGCGTGGAGGTATCAAGCTGAAATTTATATCTAATACTCAACTCTACTGTCCCTTGGAGCTGTGAAAAAATCAGACTTCGCAGCCAACGCAATCAAAAGATACAGCTGTTTATGCCGCAAATTTTCGACATTCTAAATAAATAAATAAATAAATAAAAATGTTTTATTTCAGTAAATCTTTTTTACAATTTTTTTACAACATTCGCCAGGGAATAAAAACCTACAGGGTACTTCCCGTGAACTCAGAATCTTAAAGTTTGGTACGAAGCAACGTATTATAGCACAGATAAAGGAAAAATTGCGAAAAACATAAATTTTTAGTTACATCATATAATAAAAATATTTTTAATAATTTTATACTTATATACCTACGGATTTGTTCGGAACCCTCAGTGCGTGAGTCCGACTCGCACTTGGCCAATTTAATTTTAAGAAACTTTTATATCCACTACTGTAAACTGTATTGTGTTAATAAATTAAAACAAAATAAAGATAGTATGTAAGTTTACTGTAATGCGCACCACCTCTTACTGTCCAATAGTACAAGTACAAGTTTCTACTTAAGATTGTCTAGAAGAGATCGCTTTTTAGCCGATTATAAGACCGCATTATTTTACCTACCTCTCAAGTATTACTCCCTGTTATCTGTTTTTCTTTATCGTTTTTTGTGTGATCGACGAATCATGTCAGTTTTTATACCCTGCGTATCGTTACTGTGCATAGTATGATATTATCCTTGAATCAGTCATCCTAATGATCCAAAGCATGTATACCAAAAGTACCAAAGTCATGCAGGCAGATCGGCTCCACCCCATTCACATAAGTGATCCACACGCTGATGATACTAAATCAGCCATCCTAACGACAGTTTAGTCAATTATTTTATTTGATGAAAATAAGTTTTTTGTTCAAATCTTAATATTTGGGATCAAGTCGTAAGAAAAAGTGTTGATGGTTGGGCGTATGTGAAAATAATGTACTATAAGGCAATGAGTGATGCCTGTATCAATTCCAAATGGTTGCAGGTCGGTATCGTGGGACGTACGGGAGCGGGTAAATCATCACTCATATCGGCTTTGTTTCGCCTGGCACCCATTGACGGCCACGTGTACATCGACGATGTCGACACCGGCGAAATTGCGCTCAAGGTAAATTGTAAATGTTCGTTTTTTCTTCATAAAACTGAATTGACAAAAGAACTTAGTCGTAGTCCACCTAATTGTAAGTGGGTATTATAGTACTGCAATCAACTTCAAACAAAGAAGGCGACAATTAATCGCGTTGGCACCTTTGAGGACTATGATGGAATGGGTATAGAGAGCCAATATAATAACAGGCACAGCCTCTATATCCTCTCTATACCCGGAACCTAGTAGTGCAAATACAGCTATTTGGCGGCAGAAATAGGTAAGAGGGTGCAGTGGCGAAGCTAGGGCACCAAACTAGGGCAAGCTCAAGAGATGGTTTAGTTATTTTTAGCAGTTTTATAAAAAAACACCAAACTTGATCTGTCTCCTCTCTTCAGCTTCATATTCAGTGCTATCGGGGACGTGTTTAACAAAGCACACAGAAGGCATACTACTGCTCGATATATTGTATGTCATATCAGCAATTGCATACCTTCGGTGGCATTGAAAAAAGCCGTTTAGGTTTGCTTGAGCGAAAGAAAAAAATATTTACATACAATACAATACATGAACAAAAGAAAGGCATGAACAAAGTACAAACAAACTAGGTACAAAATTAAAAAAAAATATTTATGTTCTAAATTGAATCATCTCGCTTTCTTAAGGAAAGATTTGATTACGTCCGCGTAAAATGGTGAAAACATATGCATATATATTTCTCATCAAAGTTTAAAGATTATACCTTTTCCTCGTCGATTAGCACTTTAACACACTTCAATTCATCATAAGGAACACTATTATACTCCGTTTTAACTAAAAGTCTTAAAAAAATTTTTTTCAATAAAAGACCGGCTTAATAGCTCCATACTAGTTGCTATATAAATAATTGTAGTTATATTTCATTATAGAACATTTTGCCACAGGTTAGAAAGGGAGCGATCGCCTTCTCGAGAGCCCCGTAAAAAGCCCACGCGTGCGAGAGAGACGACTAATCGCTCAACTCAATTCCCTTTTTATGACATCAGTATCGCGCGTTTTACCGCGACGATTAATGCCCTGTGTAGAACAGACGAGCGCGCGGGAAATTCAAAATAGTTTGAAACAGTTTACGAGTTATTTTATTAGTTGATATTATTGATTGAGCAGTTTGATAGGGCAAGCCCGGCTTCTCGGCTTCTATGGAGGCTTCGCTACCGAGAGGGTGGTACCTACTCAGACGAGTAGATACCAATTTCTCTATTTCCTAGTTTCTTAGTTTTTTTGTCTAGGGGTACGTCTAAAAAAGCAGTCTTACCGCCTGGTATTTCACTACTTAGTGTTTCAAACTTTTCAAATTCAGCGCTGGTTTAGTACGACACTTTAATTTTATCACGTATTTAGTGTTTTCGTGTTTATTAATTGCGAATAACATCAAAGTAAATATGTTACCTTAGTCACAACTAGCGACATCTGGTGAGTGTAAGATTATTAGCCCTTATCCTCTGAACTGGTAGGCATAGACACTAGAGACCAGAGATATACTAGTTAAAGGTTATTTTTTTATATATATTATAAAATTTTATATAAAAAATAACCTTTTTTAATTATAATAAATTTTTGTAAGTCAAATAGGGTACCTATAAGGAAATGCAGATATGAAACTCAATCATTTTAGAAGATGGTTTTCAATTTTACTTATTTATTTCGAATGACAATTACAGGAGCTTAGATCCAAGATCGCCATCATTCCTCAGGAGCCGGTGTTATTTTCTGCCAGCTTGCGATACAACATGGATCCATTTGACAAGTACACTGATGCCGACATATGGCAGGCGTTAGAACAGGTATACTATGCTTCTGGTTATGTTCTAAAAAATACGAAATTATAAGAGTGAAGGGATTATTGCAATCGCAATATACGAGTATTCATTTAATTTATTTTTCATCTTTATCAGCCCCTAATCACTGCAACATAGGTCTCTCCCATATAAGACAAAATTTTACATTGCTGCGTCGCCGGTCTGTGGAATTGTAAGTCATCAGCACAACTGTAACCTGTCGGTAAAGATATATGTGTGGAGTAAAAATTCAAACAATTTATATTTTAAAAGATGAAGTTTAATATATAAAGTGATTTTGATGTGTTATTTTCCATTTGTAATTTTATAAACAGTATTTTCAGAAACACCACATTAACTTACTGTTTTTTATATACATCACTCATCATCATTACAGCCTTTCATATCTTAACAGGTCGTCACTCCATCTAGTGGGGGGACGCCCTAAACTTCACCCGCCGGTACGAGGCCGCCACTCGAGAACCGTTTTTCCCCATCGGTTGTCGTTCTTCGAGCAATATGGCCGGCCCATTGCTACTTCAGCTTACTAATCCGTTGGGCTATGTCGGTCACTCTGTTTCTACTGCGGATATCCGCATTACTAAGTTTATCACGCAGAGAAACTCCGAGCATAGTCCTCTCCATAGCTCGCTGAGCGACCTTGAGCTTCCTCATCTGTCGATTGACCTCTCGGTCGAAGTTGGACTTACCTAGTCGGACTATTTGTCCCAAATAAACATAATCGTCAACAACTTTGAGCTTAGTGCTCCCAACAACTACCGGCATAGGTGTGACATCGACATTTAACATGATCTTTGTTTTGTCCATGTTCATCTTAAGACCTATCCGTTGGGAAACACTATTGAGGTCATTGAGCATAGTGCTTAGGTCCTCCAGAGATTCTTCCATATCGTCGGCAAATTGAAGGTGAGTGATGTTCGACATATTTGCCATTGATGTTAATACCGTGCCGTACCGTTCAGTGGCGAATCTTAAGACCAGAAGCTTGAATACGTCTTCCAATGCAGCGGTGAAGAGTTTCGGGGATATAACATCACCCTGTCTTACACCTCTCTGCAATTGGATAGGTTTCGTACTCTGGTTCTGTACTCGGATAGCCATCGTAGCCCTACTGTACAAGCACTTCGATATACAGACAGTCAACTTGCCACCACTGAAGGGACTGCAACACCGCCCAAATTTCGACGGAATCAAAGGCTTTTTTATAGTCCACATACGCCAGACATAGTGACAAATTGTACTCCTCGGACTTCTGTACAATGTTCCGAAGGGTATGTATGTGGTCTATGGTGCTAAAGCCTTTTCGGAAACCGGCTTGTTCGGGAGGCTGGAAGTCGTCAAATCTGTGCGCGAGACGATTCGTAATGACTCTCGAAAACAGAACGTAGACGCGGCTCAGGAGGGAAATCGGTCTGTAGTTCTTCAAGAGGGCGTTGTCACTTTTCTTGAAGTACAAGACCACCGCACTTCTGTTCCACGCCTCCGGTGTATTGCCACCATGGAGGACGGAATTAAAGAGCCGCTGAAGGACTTCAAGTACCGGTTTTCCACCCGCTTTCAGAAGCTCCGCTGTAGTTCCATCCTCGCCAGGGCCTTGCTATTTTTAAGGTTCTGGAGAGCCATTCTAATCTCGCTCAGACTGACCTCCGGGATATCATCGGAATAGTGTCGGATAAGACTCGCTCTTGGATCGTTAGTCACACTTCCGTGTAGCTCCAACGATGATGTGTACAGCTGCCCATAGAACCTCTCAATCTCACTCAAAATCTCAGGTGTCCTGGAAACGACGCTGCCACACTCGTTCTTCAGCTTCGACAGTTGGCTCTTTCTGACAGACAAATCTCTAGCTAAGACTTTGGAGCCCTGGTTCCGGTCGATCGCTTCTTCAATACAAGCAGTATTAAAGTTGCGTAAGTCCCGCCGCATGCATTTGGAGATCTGTCTGTTCAGTGGCATGTATGCTGTCAAATCTACTGAAGACTGCAGCTTCATATCCCGTCTTCCAGCCATGAGATTAAGAGTGTGATCGGAGAGTTTTTGGGTTCTTTTGCGGCGGGTCTTGCAAAACTTAGCTCCGACCGCATGGACAGTTTCCACGAGCTTGTTCTTCATATCGTCCACTGCGTTGCAATCTTCTAGGCACTGAAAACGGTTTCGTAGCTTGAGCTGAAAGGTTTCGGGACATTGGATTAGAGCACGAGGGGGCCGGAGCGTTGATTTCATTAGACGTGACCTCTCCAACTAACTTTTAGGTTCAGTGTGCCTCTCACCATTCATTGATCGCTGCCTGTTTTCACCCTCACGATCACTGAGACATCACTGACCAGTTGTCGTCTGGTCGTCATAATGAAGTCAATCTCATTTTTTGTTGAACCGTCGGGGCTCGACCAGGTCCACTTCCTGAGGGGCCGCTTTAGAAGAAAGAGTTTACCATAAAGAGTCCCTCTTTTTCCATGAAGTCGGCCAGTTGCTGGGCCCTTGGGTTCCGTTGCCCTATTCCGAATTTCCCTGCTTTCAGCTCACCGTTGTCTCTTGTGCCTAGTTTTGCGTTGAAGTCTCCTATTAACACCGTATAGTGGGTTTTGGAGAAATGCATGGCTCTAGATATATCCTCATACATTTCCTCCACCTCCTCATCGGTGTGTGCCGAGGTTGGTGCGTAAACCTGTATGATCTTTAGCGAGTACCGTTTGGTGAGCCTGCGTGTAAGGTACGCAACTCTCGTTGACACACTCTCAATCTTTACAACGTTGTTAACGAGAGACTTGTGGACGATAAATCCGACACCTTCTTGGGACAGATGGTCTCCCTCCCGGTGATAAAACAAGTTACCGGATTCGAGGATTACCGTGTACTCCCCCTCTATTCGGACCTCGGATAATCCTATGATATTCCAGCGCAACTTGTCTATCTTTTCTTCCAGCTCCAGGATCTTCTCGTCAGTCCTCAGGATGCGTGCGTTATACGTTGCCAGGTCGAGTCGTCGTAGGTGGCAACCAAACCTCCACCGGAGATTCTTAGTACCCCCTGCCCCGCCGTTACCATGGTCGTCACCGTAGCCAGGAATAGCGGGGCCGCTGGGGACTGGGGGCCGTCTTTTTGTAACTTTTATCATGAGGGGTATATTGCCATAGTATATGATAGTATAGAGGTAGCCATTTGTGCACTATTTAAACTTTATTTGTAAAATGTAATATCGTACCATTTCATAGGTGTGTATCCGCGGTTAGAATATTTTCGTTACGTCATTGGTAACGAAGTATACCTAATGAGGTCACAGTGAACACTGTCAAATGTCAGATGTCGGCCGATTGGGCGTACGTATGTACTTAGTGGTGTAACGGTAAACGAGGACATGGGAACACGTCAGAAAAATTACCTTACCGAGTGACCCTTACGAATGTGTGCGTGCGTTAAATTAAAAGCGTTAGATATTTATGAATGAAAATCAGTTAAAATATTGCATTACCACGCATTTTGGATTTAAAAAATAATAATGGCAGAATGTTTGATATTTTATTTTATAAATTTTTCTTCTTCATTTGTATATATTACTTATTCTGAACCTTCTCTGCAAAGAGCAATGGCAGACTTTCATACATAAAATTAGTTGAGAAGAAATGGTAGCGTCTATATATCAAAAATATCTTAAAATGTTAAGCGTTAGTCCCTTAATAACTCTGTCAAAGAATTTTGTCCTGAGAAGGCGTCAAAAAAAAGGTATTTACATTTGAACCTTTTTAGGTTATGTCTTATGTCACTTGGAAAAAGTCATGCTTTTTATCTCTATTATATATTTGCATACTATAAATGTATATTTCTGACATGGCTACAGGGCTTTTGTATCATAGTGACATTCTCAGAAGGGCTAGAACCCAGAGCCGTAAAGCCAGTAAAAAAACAATGACATTTTGTTTTAGCTAGTGTTGGTATAACATTAAATGGAATTGTTACATAGTACTATGATTGAGATAATGTATTATTGTAGGAAATTCTGTGTAAGAGACTTATTCTCAGCCATATCTCTTTTATTTTTATTATTACTGATAGTTGTGTGTTCGTTACTTGTGTCGGGTATCACGTGTTTGATTTTACGATGAACGTTGAATTATTTGAGTTGAAGTTAGTTCAATGTACAATAAAGTTAATAGACTGAAATAGTGACATGGAGAAAGAAGTTGGCACTTGGTGACGCCTGCTGGAGTGATGCAGCATTGTGGGGCAGCATGGGACCAGGCCGCTGCCCGGTTACCTCAGCTGGGCCAGGTCACATAAATATACACACTATTAAACACCACTTTACATGCACCTACAACTACCGACGGCCTGACTGAGCCTTGGTACGGTCTTAGCTTCGGATCCAGGTACGTACTATTTATTTACCTAGCTTATCTCTATTGTATAGTATGATAGGTCAATTGTCCATAAGGCCATTTAGGCCCGACCCCTCGGCTGTCCGTCGAGGAGGCTACCATGGGCCCTAGCCAAGGCGACCTTTGCAGGGGCAGCTGGAGGCCGTAACATTTTTGGTAGCAGAGCGTGGTTTGGATTGGTTTAATTTTGTGTCTACAATCACGCCCGACCGTAATACGTAATAATAAAATTATTTTCCTTTGTTGCTTGCTTCCTTTGTTCGTTAGCGAGTAGAATTAAAAGCCGCGTCGTTAGGCTACGGGAGTTTGTTAGGGCTAAGTATGCGTCGGGTAGGTAGATGGTTGTTATCACGTAATCGGTTAATTATCGTTGTCGTATAATTGTAGTAGATTTTTTAGAATTGTCGAAGGGTCGGTTGTCCGAGCGAAGCATTTTTTGTTGATCGACTGTGGTGTGTACGTTTATTTGTAGTGTAATTTGTATTTAATTTAATAAATAGTAATTTGTATTTGTGTAATTTGTATTTAACTTGATTTGATAGGAATTGTATTTGTTATTTGTTAATTGATTTGTATTTGAGCCGCGTAGTAATTTGTATTTAGAAGTGATGC